TGACAAGTATAAGGCAAACTGGGAATTTGTATTAAATCTGAACGACCAAAAAATGATTTATAAGAAAATAGAGTCAAGAGAAGTATGCAAATTAGGAACGAAGAAAGCTTAAGTAATCGCCGTGCCGATAAGGACCTGGAGATGCGGGGAAGGCAGAGAGTAAGTATAGGCAAGAGGCGCCAAGGCATTTTGAACGCATAAGATACAATAGAGTAACATTTCAATATTTTATGAGTTATATTGTTTAAACGAATCACCAAGATTTTTTTCATTCAACACATTTTGTTTAATTTACCGATGGTCGTTGAAGTTTCTCTTAACCTTGCGTCTATAGCTAAGCCCGCTCTCCATGCTGCCAAATATCCGCACAGCGCGATAAATGGGTTGTTTCTTTGCGATAGGAATGACTCAACTTCTATAAATGTTGTTGATTGTATACCCCTCTTTCATTCTGCTCTTTCACTTGTTCCCATGCTGGAGATCGCGTTCTATCAGGTATATCTTCTCTCCTATTTATCCATAGATTGAGTCGTACTGCATTCGCCAGGGTCTAAGAATATGCGGATACTACCAGGCTAATGAGAATATAAACGATAACACGTGAGGGAATTCTCTCAATAAAAATACCTATAAAATGCTCCGACTAAGCTGACTAGCTATATCGGTCTATATATTTTAGTCCTAATAACTTGGCCACAAGTGCTGCAAGCAGAATCCTCGAAAATTGTGGTCCATCGTTCTTAATTATGGTATGCTCTCTATACTTTGACGCTAGATTAAAAATAATCGAATTTATCCTCTGTCCCGTGCTTCGCTAGGACTATACATAAATTCCAATAGTAAATGGGCCGAAAGCAAAAGGTAAGAATTCTATTATTTATTGCAAAGCATAACCTACGAAGATGGAGCTTTCGAAAAAATCGACGCATTGCTCGAAAACAAAGTTTACCGCAGCCTTGTGGACTTTGACAATCACCTCGACAATGTATGTTTTGACTGGCGAAACGAAGACCTCACAAAATTTAAAATAAATTTATAATTAACGTATGAGCTAGTTTACCATTATTTTGGTTAATATATAAACCTCATAATAGGTAACTTGCTCTGAAAGCCACATGAATTTATCGCTTTCATTCGCCCTTTGACGTTGCAGATCCATTAAATCTGATATCTGATTGGGGTTTATTTTATATCAGTAAAGTTCGTAAAGCAAGGAATGTTTTTCGTTTCCGTGTTCTCGAAGCATCTCTACTCCACTAGGCTGGATGGCGATATTCTGCGCCTTAACCCAGTTTTTATACATTAACAGACTAATTTCATTCGAATGCTAAATCCAAATATCGTGAAATATATTATCCAGATACCTCACTAGCTTTTCTCATATGGTGTCCTAGTGTGTTGCCTCTGTAAGCTCGGTAATATTAATGGCAATAAGCCAGTAGCTTTTTATTCCGCCAGCGTGTGATTTTTTATTATTTTTTTTGTAATTTCGGCTTTGATAAATGCTAGGCTTATTTTCTTTATTCTACAATAAACCCTCTCCACTAAGAGGCTTTAGTTGGTCCTTCTTGGTAACCACGTTTACTTCTTAATTCTGAATGAAGGCTATCTTACCCATGAGTGGTTTAGAAAACTCGCCCCTTTGAACTATTTCACAAATTTTCGAAAGCCCGATGTTAAGATTCGGACGTGTCGGTTTGTTCAGCTTTTGCTGTCGTGAAGTTGGCATAAATTGTAACTTAATCCGGTGTATTGTCGCAAGATGAGCTCTTTGGTGCAGCTCAGGCCAGGAATTATGAGGAAGTAGCCTTCGCTTGCAAGGTCAGGTTTTTGTGTAAAATGGGCTTACGATGAGTATTTTAGCGTAGCTTAACTAAAAACAACGAAGAAGCCCATAGCTAGGCTCTCATCATCTGCCAGTGTATTGACATAGTCACGACTAATACAGTAACAAGGGGCCTTTTATCTCGATTCCTATCCTTGAGCGCAAATTGTTTTCAGGCAGGCTGTTTTCTCCATATGCTCAGATTAGTCAACACAAGAAGTTCCCTCTTAAGTTGGCAGTCTTTTGTCATTGGGATGTTTCGGTGGCGGCGTGAGCCTCTTGCATGCATTGAGCTTACACATCTCAAGGAATGATCAAAGATCGAAATCTATCCGGGCTTTGGGCGCCCTTAACCCTAAAGGTTTGATTGATAATTTCATTGAGACTCAACTAGGCAGATTTGAGTAATATTTGACAAGCCTGTCCATCCTTGTTTCCTCTGGCATTGCTTGTGATGACTAAATAATTAAATTTCTGCGAATGAAAGAACCATGCCTAACTGGCTCGATGCTGGCCTACCTATCACGGTTCCACTCCCGCTGGGGGTGTTGATAAGACCTATGCGAGGTCGAAACTGAGGTCAGCCCTGGATGATAACAATTTTTGGGGAAGCAAGGCCATGTAAAATTCGATGGAAATGTCAGCTCAACTCATCAGTGAGAAAAGTCTATTAGCAGTCCTTCATCAGCAAGGAAGCTGCGTGAATAGGTTTAATATAACTGATTTACTGGTAGTCTCGAAACTGCTTATACGCGGAAAATAAGTGCGGAATCCTGTTTCAAGACCCCAGGCGAGCCATCATCGATACTACCTCTCACACCAAACAAACCTTGGTCTTCATCTATTTTCCCTCTCATGAGCGCTGACAACTTAGGGGCTCAATTTCACTCTCGACGTCACTCATAAATGGCTCCAAACAAATAAAAACCCATAGCCTCGTTAAGCAATTTTCTTCAGCCAGACTTGTGCAGAGTCCAAGTCGCTTGGAGTTTTCTTTGCTCAGAAGAATATTAGGGCGCGAGATAAGGACGACGTACGGCCGATATTTATTGATATAGGGGTACCAGTCACCCCAGGGTCCATAAGGCGATGGATTGGTAGTTACATTTTCCCATGATATCAACAGGCCTCAAATATTCTAATTAATTCGTCTAATCTGGTATAGCTCCAGGCCCATCTCTTATTTCAATCCTATCTCTTCAGTTTACCCTTGGGTCTGCACATACGCTTTATAATTAAAAAATCGGAAGTTCAATATACTCATGGGCTGGCCTATCCTATTTTCAATAATAACTAGTGACTTGAAGGGGTCTTATCTGGTTTATGTCGTTACCCCATAAGCCGTTTTGATTTGAAGCCCAGTCCTCTTATGTGGCACCATAGAACCGAACCATTTTTTCATATTCTGCGCATTCTTACTTGGTATAGCTCACATCTTCCCATCCCTTGCACATTTCCCACCATTTTACAGCTTTCCATACCTCAAATGGGATCTCTGCAATATCTAATA